TATATATACACAGTATATATATAAATGCAGAGGTTCTCAAACTGTGAGCTGTGGCCCTTCAGGGGGGTGCAGTGTCAAAACAAGGGTGGATGAGATTAGTTTTTTGGTCCATAGAATATTAAAGTTGGAGCTAATAAGGTTTCCATTCTTCCATTAAATAATAAAGTGAAAACAGAGGAATAATAAAAAATAATATAATAAAACTAGACACAAAGATGATCTGTGCCTGGAAGGATTCCAGTCTGTTTTTGTGCAGAATAACTGTTTTTCAATTAGTTTTTGCTAAATAACCATTAGGTGTAATGTGTGATGTGTGCACCTTAGGTTGGCTTGAACTCGTTTTCTGATCAGCTTATGGTATCAGATGATTGTATTAGCTCATTAAATGATGAAGCATAAATGCACACTATGAGTGGAAACTTCCATCAGTGATTGGTGAGCTGTTCTTAGAGAGTTAGTAAACGATAAAAACTGTGGAAATATTTACAGTAAGTGAGCCAACCAGAAAAAAAACTAATAATAAAATCTTAAAACAGACAAATGAGATAAACTCAAGCCTGAATTTAAAATACTCTCTATGGAGAGCCAATTCAAATCACAAAAGGGGAAAGTCAGAAACTCTGAGCAGAAAAATTCATCACATCCTGCTGATGGGTTTTCTGTTGTTTAAATGGAGGGATTCTGTATTTTCTAGGCACAAAGATATATTACTCTCAGAGTATGGACACAGACAAGCGTTTAAGGAGTCCAATATGAATGAAGGACAGGATTCTGTCTGAGTTAATTCAGTTTCAGGGGAAGATGAGTGATATAAGCTGTGACACTGAGTCCAACACATAAAAGCACCAGACCTAAACTCTGAGGACGCAGAGTCACACTGTGACCCAGAAAGAGTGCAGCTTCCACTGTGCAGCCAGAACCAGAACCTCAGTGATGCTGTTAGGATGATCCTGGCATGTCTGTCGCTGCTTAAACTCTAAAACACACTGAGAAATAAAGCTGGTTTTTAAGCACCACATTGGGTTTAGGGATGGGTACCGAATTCAATACTTTTTAAAGTACAGACCAAATTCTGTTGGTACTACCGAGAACCTATTCACATAACATCAAACGGTACCATGTTTCGGTACCTAAACGCATCATTGCTCTTCTTTATAAGAGTGGTGTGAAACATATGTTCACAAATWAYAGGCCAATATCCTTGTTGCCACAATTTTCAAAAATTTTAGAAAAGTTATTTGTGATCAGATTTGATCAATTTATTGATAAGCATAATATTTTGAGTAACAG